ATACCTCAGACAGGCAAATAATGTAAGCTTTTCTGTAGGCTATTTAGTCCCATGCATGACTTAAGTTGTTCTTTGTTTGAATTCAATAAAGTACCAAATGATATAATTTATAATCACTACGGTTTTTGGGGCAAACAGTCAACAAAAAACACTCCTTCAAGAATGCAGCAAAGAAATATATTTAAAGAGCCCAGATGTGTCCTAACACTGCAGTTCGTCTTAAAAAACACTTTCTTATTCCTGCTCAAATCGTGGGGGGAAAGGGGGGAGAAGTACCAAAAAAAACACAGACGGTAAGCGTTTTTGAACCCGGGGGTGGGGGGTGAACCAGTTCAATTCAATCTGAGGCTGTGTCATTGTGGCTGCACACAAAGGGCCCAGGTGATGCTCTGTTATGCAGCACACTGTAAGCATTATGGCTCCGCCTGACGGATTAACTCTCCTTTATCAGCTTTTATCAGCGAACCGCATGGCTGGACCTTTTTTTAAACTCTCTGTTTCTGTGCCGTCATCTTTCTGCAATGGAAGCAAACTCTGCAGGGGTTTCTGTGTAAAAGCCTTCAACGTGCACGCTAATAAGAGATGTTGGATAAGAGTCTGAATTTCAGAATCAGGATAAAAGAGACACAGCCTTGAGGAGGGGAAGATATTTCCAAATAATGCTCACAAAGCTTAGCAACAAAACATAGATCATCAGGGTAACTACATGTCAACATTAGGGCTGCAATTTACCAGAAAACACTTGTAAATCTATAGTCAGTAAATCATTGTTTTATGTTTTAATGAAGAATGACTATTTAAATCAACTTATCGATGAGTCTACAAGTCATTACCTAATAATATATCTAATGAGGACAGTATTATGAGGCAGTATTTTGTGGCTTCAGAGCATTAACAAAAGTCTCAAATGTGCATTTAGAGTATGGAAAATGACTAAAGTATACAAAATACAGCCTGAGGTTTAGGAGAGTGATACACAGTTGAGGATGTTTAGGGACACAAAACAAGCCTCTGCAGTCTCTTTGCACCCTTTTTTGCCAATGACGACAGAGGGGGTGTCAGGGATTTGTGGGAGGTAGAGAGGGGAGAGAGGGGGAGCCCTTATCTCCCACTGAAGGAATAATACGGAGAGAACCAGCAGCCAAAAACCAAATTACTAGCAAAGAAATGGCTTCTCACAACAGCATCGAAAAGCTTTTGATGCTGTGAGTTTTTTCAGAGCACAGGAAGGTTTGGGGGATTTTTCGGAGGAGCGTCACGACCAAACTGAACCTCTGGTCTGCAGGTCCAGCAGGAACAAATGGACATCACTAAGAAAGGTAAAGAAGAGCAAGTGGACGCCCTGGAAGCTGGTGTCAAGGAGACTATTTAGAGGAGATATGACTAAAGTTTGGTAAGTTCATTTGTTATAGTTGAATCATGGACTGAAATGCAAACTGCTGTGTCAGGGCTCATGAAGGAAAGGGGAGTTTCATTCAGGGCTGCATATTTTTGTTATATAAAAATTATCTTTTTTCAGTTGACTAAAATATTTCTAAGTAGCAAATCCTTAAATATCTGTTGTTATACCTGATAAATGGTTTAAACTATTGATTAAATGAAAAATATATGTTGGTCTTCCTCTCCACCACATGCATGCTAATGATATTCAGCCTGGTCTCAACACTATGCAGACAGGAGAAATAGGTCATCCACTGAAAACAGGAGTAGAGCCTGGTTATTCCTGCACTTCAATGTGTATCAAAATAGCATGAAAGTGCTCAAATATAACTGCACTTTCAACAAAAGAAAACTATAAATAGAAACGACTAATGTGAGAGTAAATAATGTAGTGCCATCTAGTGAGATCACAGCTAGGAGACCATATATCCACATATATCCCACTGCCTCACTGACCAATTTACTGCTATTTTAGTCATTTATTTAAAAAAAATTATGAAGTATTATTAAGATAAATCAACCGAATAACACCAATATTGAATTATTTAATAACCTATGACTGTTGGGATATTAATAAATCACAGCATGGGTGTGGCTGCAGCCTGACATGACTTTTTCTACCGACAGATTACCCAAATTGAATGAGAAATTAGGAGAAAACTATCAAGGGTTAGTTAATTAAAACGAGAATAAAGCATACCAATTAGTGCTGGAAAACATGATCCACGTGTCTCAATAACCCACCACAGCCAAAGCTTTATCATTATTTGGAATAATTAAGACTCTATTTCAGTCTTTTAGATGATCAAATAATGTATTTTATCGGCTGCGACTGGTTCTTAAATCCTCTTTTTTGGCTGATGTTAGGTGCTGTCAGCTGTCAGTTGGGACACTCCCTGGCCAGCTGCTAGCAATAGCAACCGTTAGCTTCGGATGGCATTCCCACACAAAACGTCTTAACTCGAGTTAAATGTAACAAGACACACACGTATATCTTTCTAAACATGTATTTAAATGGGTTTTGAAAGTATTTCCCATTCACCAGTTGACATGTTAGAGCTAAATCTGACCTGTTTGTGTGAAAAAATCCAGCTAACCGTTCAGCTTCGTCCCGTCCAGGCTACATCCATCCATGGAGGTCTGACCAGACCACCAGACACATCCGAGCTGTGGTGGCCGAGCTGCTGCCTGACTGGCCCGCCTCACTCACAGAGGAGCCCGGGGAGAGTTGTATTACTGGTATTGGACTATAAAGATGTTTAAATGTATTATTGCATTCACTGGTGAGTATTTCAAAGATGGGAAGTTGTTATAGACACATTCTACGACTCAATGTCTAGTGCAAATAATTGAGTACATTTATATTGTATTCATGGGCGCGGGAAGGGGGGTGCTGAGGGCGCTGCAGCACCCCCTAGCGGCAGGCAGGGGGTGCGGAGCTCCCCTGTCTGAATTGTTATTTGACGGTTATTGCTGCTCCCGCTGTGCATAATCTGTGTAATATGTAGCCAATAAATTCCACATTGTTGGTAAAATAATATTTTGGCCTGCCCCGAATGTTTTTTCTGTCGCACCGGACAATTCTACCTCAATAATATTAATACATTAACCGTGTTTTACGTGAACCTCATCATGACACTCGAGAGGACGGCAGGATTGTAATTTCCCGTGTTCAATGAATGCAACAGAGGCAAGACACCAGACCAATCAGAGAGTTGCATGGAAATAAAAGTGTGCTTGTGTCATTCAAACTCGGCTCTGTTTGTTTGTTTGTTTGTTTGTTTGTTTGTTTGTTTGTTTGTTTGTTTGTTTGTGTGTGTGTGTGTGTGTGTGTGTGTGTGTGTGTGTGTGTGTGTGTGTGTGTGTGTGTGTGTGTGTGTGTGTGTGTGTGTGTGTGTGTGTGTGTGTGTGTGTGTGGAAATAGCGCATTTAGTGTGTGTGAGAGAGGGAGAGAAGGAGAGAGGGAGAGAGGGACCGGTGCCAGCAGCAGGGACCGTGTTGTTAGCATCTGGTGAGCTAAAGGACTCTGAGTGTTTAGATAGTTAACTTTAGTCTAAGTTATCTCAGTGGGTCTCAAACGGTTTGGTCACAAATTATTCAAAAGATTATTTCCGCGGCACACCTTCATATGATCATTATAGTTATAAAACAAATAAGAGAATAAAGGAAAAACAGTTATGAAATACTATATGGCAGTAAAACAAGAATACAGTTTGAAAGGGGAGTGATTTGTAAAATATCCATAAAGAAAAAGAACATCTGCTTACAGTTCTGTTTCATATGGGTGTTGAGAGATGTTTCCATAGATCTCTTAATGTTGCTCTTAAAGTGCACCAGATTGATGCTTTTAACTTCAATATTTTAAAAAAATCTTCCCGGGGGAGCATGCCCCCAGACCGCCCTAGAGGAGGTGAGGTCCGCTCCCCACTCGTAAAAAATAGCACTTTACCCCTGCCTATATGCCGTGAGCTGATTATCGAGCCTTCATTGTAACAGTCGCGGGTGTACTGTGTGTTTGCGTGTGGGGATTGCTTTTGTGCGTGCTCTATAGTGCCCGTAATAGTGTTCACTGGAGTCCAGCACCTCAGCACCCCCACTCAAAATACCTTCCCGCGCCTCTGATTGTATTATTAGTTTTGAATTGTTGTGAAGTACGTTTTTAAGTGTATTATGATGTTGTTGTTGTTATTAAGGGCCATTCCTCTTTAAATCATGTTTCCCTGAGGAGTTTTTCTTTTGCTGTTATTATGTATGTATATAAACTCGAAAAATTACGAGGTAAGAAAAAAGGGAATTGAGGAGTAGCGAGGGGAAATGCACACATCCAAATATTCACCCCCTAAAAAATGGAAAGTAAAACATTTACAACAAAATAGAGAGCAAGCATAAAAACTAAATCAAAAGTGGAAATGAATGACAATTCAGCTAGAACACCTGTGTATGCACAGTTGTTGTATGTGAGTGTGTCTGTGGGGCTTTTGACAAATGTCCATGGCCTGTGGTCATAGCAAACTTTCTCTGGCTCTCACAAAGAAAATACTTGTTCTTCCTGTTTGGCTGAACAGGTGCTTCACTCACTTTATAACTCTAGCAACACACATGTGGTGAAGGAAAATGAAAATGTTAAGCTGCAGGGCAGCTGGGAAATAGTTCCCTTATCACACTCCTATGCCTGGTAAAAAATATAAATTGCACATGCATATAAAATACTATGCCAGAGAGCAATGCTGTTGAACTAAAGTACATGAAGTATAAATACTGCAATGCTTCCTCCAGCTAAATGTTAATGGTTGATGTGAAAATAATGTAAAGTATGCTAAAATATTAAAGTCCTAAAACCAGACATGGGGCTTAAAATGTATTTCAACGCTCATTTATCTGAAGCCCCTTAGTGTTCACAGATTAACAAACACCTGATTTCTATTGCAATTAAAAATATTTAACAATAACACAACAATTCAGGCAAAATGTGTGAGCCTGAATAAGTCCAGGAGGATATGGCATCCCTAATAGTAATACAAAAAAACAAAAGAAACGAATGATACACATTGTACTGAAAGTATGTTTATCCATTAGTTTATTCTATAAGTATCATGTAAAAATAAATCATTTAGAAAATTAAATAATACAATTACTTTCAAGTAGCTTATTCAAAATACTAACATGTTATTAACCTGTGTATGTTAAACTGTTCTTTATGTGGATACTGTTGCCTGTGGTTTATCGATCTAAAGGGATAGTTTGGTGCCAGCCTGGTTTCCTAGCAATTAAGTTGAAATATTTGTTTTGCTTGATTTAAAATATTCCCATTGCTTTATCATGCTTTTAGACGGAGAACCGAATCAGTGATCTGGAGTCTTTCAACCAGGCTCTATTGACAACAACTGAAATGTAACAGTAACATGTTTGATTTTTAAATAAAGTCTGGTGGCTTTGGGAAAAGCATACAATGATATAACATCTTCAGTTACAAGTTCACAAGGGCTATACTGTACTTCCTACAACCCAACTTTAAACAATCATGACTGTCCCTTTATGGCCAATGAATGCTGGCAAAATGTAAGTATTGCAACTGGATAAATGGACGGTTCCTTAACCCTAAAATGTTATAGTCTTTGTCTAATTTAATAAACAACTCATTCACTTTTCCCCTCTCTCTGTAAATCCAGTCTGTACTCCATCAGAGTGAAGTTCATGATTTTGGCAGGAAGCTCAGGAACAACAAACTCTCGTATCTTCTTGTAACCCATGTCCTCATACAGCTTCTGAGCGTCTGTCTGCACCACAGAGGTGACCAGCAAAACGGCTGCAAAACCTCGTTCACGAGTAAATTCAGCGACTGTCCGACACAGAGCCTTAGCGATGCCCATCCTGCGGTGACTGCGGCGTACAGACATGCGTTTCAACTCCAAACACGCAGGCGCTTTCTCAGCAGGAAGGCAAGCCACCGTGCCGACCACCACTCCATCGACTTCAGCCACCCAAAAACACGAGTCTTTCTGCTTCAGGTAGGTTTCGCTGATGTTATTGAGGTCCTTACTGAGTGAGGTGTCGATGTATTTATTGAACATGTAGACGACCAACTGCCGAGCCCCAGCCAGGACCAGGGTGACGGCCAGGATGGGTAACAGGAAGGACTTGGAGCTGGTGATGAGGGCGCAGAACAGGCACATGAGCACCATTTGGGTCGGTGGCTGTTTCAGCATGTGCATGAAGGAGGAGGGCACATGCTCGCTCATCCCCATGGTGAAGGTGTCCCTCACCGCCTCTGAGTCCTCGTCCCGATACTTCCGGATCTGAAAACTGGCCATGGCTCAGCCCTGATTTATAACAATAGGAAATCTAAATGTCAGAGGTTACAAAATATTGACTAGATAAATCAGTCGCGGTAATACATTTGCTTTGTTTCTTTTCAGTATCACATTGTGCTGAAGCCTGCCTTTTCTACAGGGAAGCAATGCATAATGCAGATATTTACAATGACTTATCAAGTATAATATATCGAATATGGACCAATAAGGAATAAACCCCACCTTTACCAAGTGCAACATTGAAGTGTTGAACATTAATCAATAACTATCATACAATAATTTAAGCTATTCTGCAGAAAGAGTACTTTAAGTATAATTTGATGCTAATACCTTTTTTTAATTTGACTTAAGTACCACTTTGAATACAGAACTTTTACTTCATTCATAATCTGAGTAACTCTTCGATCTCTGCCTCTAGTCAAAGTGGAGTGTGGGATTTGAGCTTATTATCCATTTAACATGAATCAATCCAAATGAATAATGATCAATGCGGAAGTGAAATGTAAACACAATGACGTCAATGACGCTCAAGTGTCACGTGAGTCAGTTTATAACGGTTTAAACGAAAAGACAGGTATATTTGCAAACAACTGTAACACATAGGCATTCAATATGCATGTCAAAAAAATTATAAAACCATATGTACCGTTCAACGTAAAGACTTTAATTCCTTTTATTAGCTAACAGCAGATAGCATCAGGGCTAGCATCAAAAAGCTACCACGGATTTTATTTTATTTGCTGTCGATGAAATAAACGGGGTTATTAAACAAGACTCACCGTGTTTATTTCAATTCTTGTTGAAGTCAGGGTTAGTGGATTGGGTGAAGGGAACAGAAAAGTTGCAGGAAGTCGTCTCATGCGTCTCCTACTTCCCCAACAAGGATATGCTGCATTCACTGTACAGCAGCAACATGGGGAAATCTACATCCCGTCATCCTAGTATGAGATTCTCGTTTTCTTAAACATCCATTTTGCCATATAATGGTTAATACTACTATCACCTCCAAACACACATCCGTCAAACATACAAACCGACATTAAATCTGGGGTGAAGTTATTTTCCCACCGGGCTGCATATAATTTAAAAAAGGATATAGATTAAAAAAAAGAGCTCTTGGGTGTCACTTGAAAGCATCTTGTATCACTACTATTGCCCGAATCCTTATTATCTGATATGCCCTGTGGTCACTACAAACTTTCTCTAGCTTTCACAACGAAAATACTGTTTGGCTGAACATGTGCTTCACTCTCTTATGTATGCCTCCAGCATCACAAATGGGATGACGGAAAATAAAACGTTAAGCTGCAGCAGGGCTTTGTTTCAAAGGGAACAACTGGGAAATAGTTTCCTGATCACATTCATATTCCTGGTTTAAAGTACACATAGCACATACATGCTTATACAATACTATGTAAGAGCAATGCTGTTGAACTTAAGTACACACAGTTCAACTACTGCAATACAACATGCTCCCTACAGTTATGTTGTTGATATGATAAGAATGGGAAGTATGCTAAAGTATTACAATCTTAAACCATACCCACAGCTTAACTCATTTATTTCAACGCTCAATGTATGTGAAGCACCTTAGTGTCCACAGATTTACAAACACCTAATTTATATTGCAAATATATCGGATAACAATAACACAGTGGTTTGAGCAAGAAAATATGTTAGCTCGAGAAATAGTTTAGGAAAAAATAGAACCCCTAACAGTAACACAAAATACATTTAAACAAATGCTACAAATTGTAGAATTATGTTTATCGATCAGTTTATTGTAAATATCATGTAGAAAGGAAATCATTTACAAAATTAAATAATAAAAAATGACTTTCAAGTAGCTTAATCAACACAAAACATCATCACGAACATTCAGTCAACCATTCAAAAGAAAGGATTAATGATCAATCTGTCCCGTGTGTGTTTGCAGCAAAAGAAAACATGACTAACCTTTACTACGCGTGTGTGGGGTAAACAGTTCCTTATGTAGATACTGCTATCCATGTTTTGTTGACATAAAGGAATAGCTTGGCTTAGCCTGGTTATTAAGCAATGTACTGCTGTGATCAGGGGCTTCAGAAAAAGGTAATTGAGCCACTTAAATTATCAATATCAGTTTAAAGGAATGTTGTATTTTTTATATTTTCATGCCCCATCATGCTCTCCGGCATCTATTTTTGACTCCATTTTCAAAAACTGAAATTGAACTGTTTCGTTGGAAATAAAGTCTGGTGGCTTTGGCGATGCATACATTGATTTAACGTCTTCAGTTCCAGACCAAAAGGGCTATACTGTACTTCCTACAACCCAACTTCAAACAATCGGGACAATCCCTTTAGAGGCAATTCATACCGTCAAAATGTAAGTATAGAAACTGCATAAATTAATGGTTCCTTAGGGTTTCAGCTAAATAACGACTCATTCACTTTTCCCCTCTCTCTGTAAATCCAGTCTGTACTCTATCAGAGTGAAGTTCATGATTTTGCCAGCAATCCCAGGAATAACAAACTCTCGTATCTTCTTGTAGCCCATGTCCTCATACAGCTTCTGAGCGTCTGTAGCCACCACAGAGGTGACCAGCAAAACGGCTGCAAAACCTCGTTCACGAGTAAATTCAGCGACTGTCCGACACAGAGCCTTAGCGATGCCCATCCTGCGGTGAGTGCGGCGCACAGACATGCGTTTCATCTCCAAACACGCAGGCGCATTCTCAGCAGGAAGGCAAGCCACCATGCCGACCACCACTCCATCGACTTCAGCCACCCAAAAACATGAGTCTTTCTGCTTCAGGTAGGTCTCGCTGATGTTTTTCAGGTCATTACCGAGTGAGGTGTCGATGTGTCTGTTGAACACGTTGACGACCAACTGGCGGGCCCCAGCCAGGACCAGGGTGACGGCCAGGATGGGTAACAGGAAGGACTTGGAGCTGGTGATGAGGGCGCAAAAAATGCACATGAGCACCATTTGGGTCGGTGGCTGTTTCAGCATGTGCATGAAGGAGGAGGGCACATGCTCGCTCATGCCCATGGTGTAGGTGTCCCTCACCGCCTCCGAGTCTTCGTCCCGATACTTCCGGATCTGAATATTCGCCATGGCTCAGCCCTGATTCTGAAAACAAGTCCAGGTTAAAATGTGAGAGGTTGAAAATAGGACAAATGACAAGAAAAAGTTGTTTTGCAATCATATATTGAATCAATACATCACTTGGGCCTTCTTTTTTATAGAAAGCAAGACATGACGGGTGAGAATAGAAAAAAGTCTAAATTGTAGATTCAATCTCGTCTTTGCGTTTACATTTTTTTATTTGTACCTTGGACTACTCCCATCGCAATCCTATGTTGATTAATCAAAAATGTGTTACACACAGAAAAAGAAATACTAGCACTTGAAAATCAGCCCAGCCCACACCTTTTATCTATCATGTTGTTTACTGTAATCCTCTCAAGAAGGTCAGTCTTTGTCAGAGATAATACAAGCGTTTGTTGTTTGTTATGTGTTGGAGGCGTGTGGCGCAGTGGGTTAATGCGCTGATCTTCGAATCAGAGGATAGCAAGTTCAAGTCCCACTGCAGTCAGCATGTCGTTGTGTCCCTGAGACACTTCACCCCAAATTGCTCCTGTGGAGATTGCCCACAGTATTGAGTATGTAAGTCGCTTTGGATAAAAGCGTCTAACAAGTAACATGTAATGTAGTGTACCTAAAAGATTGTATTATTCTACAATTATTCTGTCCGGCAGTGGCTCAGTGAGTAGGGGCTTGGACTGTGAGCCACAGGGTCACCGGTTCAAGTCTCCGACCAGACCTTCAATATGGAGTGTGCACTGCTACTTGGAGAGGTCCCAATTCACCTCCTGGGCCCTGCCGTGGTGTCCTTGAGCAACCCTCCCTCACTCACTCACTCCCATTGCTCCCCGGGCGCTGTACAATAGCTGCCCACTGTTCCTAGTACTAGACTCCTGGTACTAGGATGGGTTAAATGCAGAGAACAAATGTCACTGTGTGCTCTACATGTGTGACCATTAAAGAGGGTTTCATCCCTCCCAATTCTATTCCAATAGACAAGTAAAAGTAGTCATTATGCAGATTGGCCCATTTCGGAATAATATATATTATATGCTTTGATTATAATTATTGATGCATTTATGTGTTTATTATAGTAATATGGTATATGGTAAAGGTGCAGCTAGTTTTAATGACTTTGTATACTGCAGGGTAGCTGGTGTATTTATTTCAGGTGCTACTAAAGTCCATTGTACGTGTTGTTTATATTTCAAAGTACACTACTTGAGTAAATCTATTTAGTTACTTTACACCACTTTATTTAGACATTATGCAGTAATGAATGCAAGGCAGTGTAACATGTGTGCTTATTTTGCATTTAACAAACTCAATAATCAGAACGAATAATAATCTCAAATGTCACGTGAGTCATTTTATAACGGTTTTAACGAAAAGCCAAACAGCTTTAACACGTAGGCCTTCAGCATCTTCATTAACTATAATGTTAATGCAGATGCTGAATGCCTACGTGGATCGGATCAAACAAACTTGAAAAACCTTAATCATGACCCTTTCAAACACTTTAAGTCTTCTGATAAGCTAACAGCAGCTAGCATCATGTAGCTTCACAGAGCTACCACGGATTTGATATGACTTCATTTCATGTATCCCGATACAAATAAACGGGGTTATTAAACATGACTCACCGTGTTTATTGAAATCCTTGTTGAAGGCAGGGTTAGTGTGAACAAATCAGAAAAGTTTCCAGAAGTCAATCGCGTCTCTTTTCATTTGTCTCCTACTTCCCCAACTACGATATGCTGCATTCACTGTACAGCAGCCGAATGGGAAAATCAACCTGCCTTCCTTCTAGTATGCGATTCTCGTTTTCATAATTGACACCTATTTTGCCATATAAATGTTGGAAATGTATATCACTATAATATAGACATCTTTTAAATATCTGAAGCGGGATTACGTCTAGGATAAATTGTTGTTTTCTACCGGGCGGCTCATCATTTTCCAATTCAATTTGGATAAATACGAGCTCTGCGGTGTTAATTGAACGCAGCTTGTACCACTTCCTTTCCTGTGGATTGGCTGCGGCTTGCAGAACAGCTGATTGTATAATTTAGTTTTTATAAAAGAGATGCAAATATAATTACAAAACGTTACCGAATCCCAGCCATTTATGGAGTGACTTTAAATAATTGATTGACACTGGTGCTATGTTTGCCTTACTATATTTAAGGATCATACTATGTTGTTGGCATTACATAAATAGGAAAGTATTTATTGGATTTAACTAAAGAAACTCTTGCTAAAAGATATGGCTAATGACTATCCACAACAGTGTTTCTCAACTGGTCACAAGGATGAATATTTTTCAACATTTTCTGCAAATTATTTTCTGAACTGATCAAATAATTAGCCTTACAAATAATTAGTAGATAAATAAAACATTAGTTGCAGGTCTACCTAAACCCACACAATATTTAAAAGTAAATATAAGTAAGATTAAGTTGCTATTATTACAACATTAAATGGGTGTCATACAAAACAATGTAAAGGTAAACATGTTTACAGAATACATAGAGTGGGGTAACATAGGTAAAATGTTTTAACTTTTGTATTTGTGGTGTTTCATGTAAGATATTATTGCAGTTATCAAAGAGCCACTGAGAGAAACTGTCAAAGCAATACAACCCTGAAGGCGGACACATTTATTTTCATTTAAAATAAATTGCATGAAAAGGCAACCTTTGATGTAGAGCGACCAGGTTTTAATACTTGGAGCCTATAGAAACATATAGGAGATTTTTTGACGTAGAAATACTAACTTTATTTTAAAATCTTACAGGAAAAATAACCAATGAAGGTCATAGAGGTCACACAACTCGGAGCTCAAACACTACGGCCATGAGAAACAATAAACACAATTATTGTACGCCATATGAAGACTGAAAAAATAATTTATTGTCTCCTCAAAAATACACAATTTGACTAGAGTTCATACATAATGATTGTACAGATTTCCCTTTTGATGGAGCTAAATGTTCCACTTACTTCAAAAGATATAAAAGCTTTTTTTTCCATTTTGGTTTTGTTCGTACAAAACATTTACATTCACTTTCCCGCCCAGCCGAGTGAGCAGAAATAGAAGCAGCTCATTATATATTGAATTTTTCTTTCCAGTTTTTGTTCCTTAGTCTCTCTCTAGCCCAGGTTGATTTCCCCTGCGTACATGGTGATGAGCAGGATGATGGTGAAGCCGCTCAGCAGCCCCACGTTCTGGATGATGAAGAAGATGATCTTGTTGGAAGTCCCCTTCTGTTCCCGTGAAATTTTCTCCATCTCAGGAAACTGAGGCGAAAAAACGAAATCAGATATCAGAAATGACCATACCCTTATTGATCATATAATGGGAGGTAATAATATACAAACAGGAAGTGGGATTTGTGTGCCTAGAATTATTAATTTGTTGACATGAATAAAAGGGGAAAGAAACATGGATGTTTTTAACATCTGATATATCTATTACAGT